ACAGCCAGTTTCACCAAACTATTTAAGTGGAAATTAACTTTAATTTAATTTTGTATTTAATTCTCATTTAAATAATTTTCAGTTTCAATAAACTATTTATTTAAGTGAGTAAAAAGTGGTTGTAAAACAGACTAGGACTAGCTTTCGCTTTCATTTGTACTGAGAGCTTTTGAAAGCTTTGGCACGCTGTGTTGTAAAAGCAGGGCTGGTATACTAGTAAGCAGCAGATACACAATGATCAGGTGATTAAACGTGTAACACCTCTGAGTGTGGTTATTCTGATTTAACTTTTATTTAAGTGCAGAGCATAGGTCACTTAAATCAAAATTTAAATTGATTGGTGAAACCGAAAATTCGAAAATTAAAGTTAATTTCCACTTAAATAGTTTGGTGAAACTGGCTGTAAGGACCGGTTGCTCAGCCTGGTTGACACTAATCCCCGGTTAAACATCGTTATCGACGTTACCAACACCGTGTTATATGCATGGAGTCGAAAACATCAATAACGATGTTAACCGATGATTAGTGTCAACCAGGCTTTGAGCAACCGGACCTTAAAGCTCCTGTTTTATCGTAAATATTCTTTGAAGACAGGGTTACCATAGATATTGCAAATCTTAAATAGTCCACCATGTTGTCACAACAAGAACTTTTGCTATAAAGCAAGCCCTAAACGTTGTGAAAGCTGGTAGGTCTAGGTAGCCACGTTTGTGGGCCCGTGTCTTGGTTGTCCGAAAGATCAACACAATTTGATTTTCTGGCAAGTTGTACAACTGGTTGTTACGTTACTGGGCACGTTGTACAACACAAACATTTATGCCGAAACTATGAAATTGTAAAAAAGGGATTGCATTAGGAGATTGCACGCAAAACTGTAACGTTTGTGGTGAAGACGTCTAACTTGATTACGATTCGAGTTGAACTAACGGTTGCAGCGTTTATGGATTGCATAAGTTCCACTCTAATGGGCGTTGTACCATATAAAAAGAAATTAAATAAATTTTTTCCAAGCTTAAAATACATATAAGTACAACAGGCCGAAGGCAGGGTTCAATAATATATTATTGAATCATCGTCCGAACGTTAAATGCATCGAATCGAAAACGGGTACCGAATGGGAAGTATTGGGTACCGGAATTTCTTTTAATTATTCGGTACCAACAATTAAGCACATCACTACTGCTCGTTATCACAAATTTCCGGAGATTGTGCGCTCACTTTTTGCTATTTTAATCGATCGTCAGAAGTCAGTCAAAACGCTTGTATTAAAGAATTTATTTAAGTCGTTGAGTATAAATTCAACGATTTCACAACGCCTGCAGTATTTATCAACAACTGAATCCTCTTCAACGAATAGGGTGCACAACAAGAATACAATGGTTATCCAACACAACGTCAAGGGTTATGAGGAGTTCACCAAATTGGTAGAGAAATTGGAAACGAGCGCCGATGGACAACCAATTCATGTGCTCTTTAGCGGTGGTAAGGATGAAACTGGACAGAGTTGGTGTCCATATTGTGTAAAAGGTGAGTAGTACGTTTTTAATGCGTTTTTTTTTTACGAATAAAACCCCTTCTGTCTTTGCAGCCGAGCCGGTTGTACATGACGCATTGGCAAAAGCAGCAGAAAAATCACATTTCATTCATGTGGATGTGGGTGAACGTGCATAGTAAGTAATTAAATAATTTTTAAAACGTGAAGTCATTCTTGTTAGCCATTATTTGTTGTTGTGACGTGATTTGTGTTTTTACTGTGAATGCGATAATAACCAAT